CTGTCAATCTGCGGATTGAGAGGTCACAAGACCTTTTTATATTGGACGTCATCATATATTAAAAAAAGGTTGAACCCCAACCTCAAGGGTTTCTCACCGCTCCGTTCCTGGAGCATCGTGAAAGAGATTAATCACGGAATGTGCCACAATAGGTTAGGAAATAAGAGCTGTCTGTACACTGGTGCCCACAAAGAGTCCCAATCCATGTTTCAAAAATCGAACTCTTATACTGCGCTAGCAAGACTGAGTATACCTCACCCTTGTTCTTTGCACCACTGGGATATACCCCAGGGAGCATCATCATATATTATGCCCCCGTTTGTTTCTCATTTTTTGGAAGAATGAGAATGAAAAATATAGTCGTTACGAACTTCACACAAGAGATAGAAATTCAAATTTTGTGACTTGATGTGATGGATAATGGTTATATTTTTCATTTTAATGAAAAAATAATGGGAACCAAACAGGGGCTATATATACAGCAGAATGATTGAAATGAATTTGTGTTTCAAAATTATATTATTATATAGTAAATACTAAAAAATTAAATTCAAACCCAACCCTACAACATGGAGTTATGATTTTCACCTGTTATCCTATAATCAGAATGATTTTCGAATGTAACAGAGATATTGCCATATCAATGAGAATTGCACTGCAAGTATATTTCAACAATTCAAAATGAGCATCCATTGAAATTGGAAAATCATCAAAATATCTCACCTCGAATCACCAAAATAATTGGCCCTAGTGGCTTGCGAACCGGGTTATACCTCTTATTTTTCATCATTGAGGTCAATATTTCTTATGCCATTCAGATCAGATCACCATTTCAATAGAATTTCACCCACCAGAAAGTATAATTATACTCAAGTCGCCAAGCGGCAAACTGGGAATGGAAGAGAAAATTCACTGCATGTCACTGGAGTAAAAACCAGTTCAAATGTTGAATTTTACCCATGTACCATCAGAGAAAAATTTCACGGTGAAACAGTAAGGAATAAACAGAATATTGCCTAAAAGATCGTGACTTTCGACATAAAAATCAGTATAGATGAATTCACAGGTTTCAGTGCTTCACCCAGGACCACAGGTGTTGTGCCAGAATAACAAAGGACACACAATTGACATTTCCTTGAAGTTCGGTGCGTATTAGATTTTTTAAGACCGAATATGTATTCAATTTCCAGAAAAATTTGACCCCAACGTGCAAGGAATAAAATGGTCCAGAATGGGACGAGTCAGGTACAGCTTCGAGTGCATAACCAACCCTCCCAACCCACGTACATATTTATTGAATGGTTAGAAATGCGACAAAGAAAGCAAACATGAGTACCAAAATGCAAGGCATGAATGAAATTCAAGAATTTGATGATTCCTACAACAAATCGGGCAAGCGTAAAGATTCATCACAGTGCATAACTCTGAAAGAACCTAAATCTTCCAAGTGCTCCAAGAATATCAACCCACACATCACATAGTTAATAGTGGAATCCAGATAAACAGCATAATGAAGACCAATTGATTGGAATGACCGTCAATACTTAATACATATCTAGACAGTAAATAGTGCATAGGCTCGTATGAAAAGAATTCGTTCTGTCCGCATTGAGTATTCTAGCTGGCTAGTCTGCAAGAGTTTCTATCTTATTAAAGACTTCAACAAAACTTTAGAATATTATTGTTGTTATCTTCTGAATGCCCTAGAAATAGACACAAACAATAAAATAAGCAGAACAATTTTATAAGCAACATGTTGCGTCCAACCTTTGATCGCTGCTTCTTCAACACCATTGAACTTTGAATCCAAACGAAACCCTTCAGTCGAGTTTAACAGAAGAAAACAGGTAGTGCACAAACCACAACGAAGAAAGGAACCCAACTGCACCTGTTGCAAGCATTATTGCTAGAACCATGAAGAGTGAATATCCGAGGTAAAGGGTTGCAGATACGGGTCCACTTAAACTCTTAAGGTCAAATATTAGATAGTTGATGGAGTAAAGAAAGATGTAAATGGCAACAGAACCAGAAGCAAAGAAAGATTTCCACCACCATTTCCAGTCCTCAACACAAAGGTGCATGTAGGTAAGAACAAGTGATACCTCAGCACAAACCACAACCAGAAGGATCATAACAATGAAAAGGAACCCAAAGACATAGTATACACCACCCATCCAGATACTGGACATGATGAAGAAGAGCTCAATGAAAAGTGTACCAAATGGAAGGGTACCCGCCCCAAGGGCCAAAAGCCAAGATGGATACTTTTGAGGAGGGATTTCTCGGGGGATTTGATTTGTTCGAACGGGGTATTCAATATGAGGTGCCTTTGCCCCAAAGTAACCACCAACAAGGGTAAGGGGAACCGAGATACAAAACCATAGCAAAATGAGTACCACAAACAAAGAAAAGGGAATAGCTCCTGTACTGTGACTACCCCATAGCAAGAAATTCAAAGTGGTTAGAATAAGGAAGGCGATACCAGGGAAGAAACAAGCAACTCTCCATGATACAGAGACCCATCCCTTGTGATCTCCACAGAACATAGTCCTCCAAAGACGAGTAGCAACATAACCGGCTGCAATTCCAAGAATCATGTAGAAAAACAGCATACCAGTAATAAGTGTTCCACGGGATGCTGGGGACATAAATCCAAGGGCAGCAAACAAAATTGTCACGATTGCCATTCCAAGAATCTGAACCCCATCTCCAACCATCACACACAAGAGCGACGGATTGCTCGGGGCACGGAAAACATCTCCAACAACAAGTTTCCATCCTGACAACTCCTCATTCATCTGGGCTTGAGCTTCCTTATCGAGCTCTTCATACTGAGCCAGATCTCGCCTAATTGTCCTCAAGAAAATCACTAGTACAATACCAGCCAAGAAAGTTATCACCATAAGCGAGTTTAGAATCGAGAACCAGTGCACTTTTGATCCTTCCATCTTCAAATATGCATCCCACCTTGAAGGCCACTTAATGTCACTCTCAACGAATGACACCTCATATGTAAAAGCCATTGGCTCATTCTCCTTAATAGCACGGGTGACTGTGGTTGGATCACATTTAATCTGGGAAGGGTATTTGTCATACATGTTCAAGTTCTTCACAGAATCGATATTGTGCTGAACATTACAAGGTACCACCTCAAACCCAACAACCATGTGGCCAGGGGCATCTGTTCCTGAGTTGCCAACAGTAGGGATCACCTCCGCTGCATCCCCAGTACCCATAACACGGGCAACATTGGTCTCTTCATATTTATGAACAAGGACAGTTAACTTCAAGTGATTAAATACATAATAGGCATCCTGAACCTTGATACCAACTGGAAAACCAGTGGACCTCAACAAATATTTATCCTTCTTAATATACCGAATTGCAGGCAAGTTATCAAGGATTATATTCACCTGATACATCTCGTCAATTCTTTCCTTCAAAAGCTTAAATTCCTGACCAGATAAAAGCTTGGTTTTGCACAGAAAAATATCAGTCTCATTGGTATACATCTTAAATCTGTAGGGAGAATTCTCAATCCTATCTCCCATAAGAAGCTCGCCGAGATTTTCTGCACTATCCTTAACACCCTCTTTCGGCTGGCAAAATGGTAAACTATAATACCCAAAGGGCATTTCAGTTTCAATTGATGTCAAAGAATTAACCTTGACATTTAAGAAATCACCAACCCCATACTTGTGAGGATAACTACCAGGGAGATAAAAACCATTACCCAATTGAAAAATGGTCAAGAAAACAAGCAACAACCAGATCTTGAATCTGCAAAAAGATTCCATTTTCACCGTCTTCTGGGCAGATATCAATAGCCCAGATCAGGAATAACGTTAATCAAGATCTTTTTCTGAATTTGGATTATCTTTTTGGGTTTTGGAACGGAACGGAACGGAACGATCCGATCAGAGAGTGGGTATAAGAAAATACAATATGTAAACAAGAAAGTAAAGGGCCTTATTTAAGGTTTTCAAATAAAAATCTTTACAGACCTCTTGAGTAAGAATTGAAAGGAGTGTGCTCTGTGAAAATGAGATTTGAGCCGCAGCAGATCTGCAGATGGCGTGCAGATGTGGAAAGTCTGGGCGAGGAGGAAGAGAGAGGACACGACGTCGTATTTATATCTTCTTAGCGTCGGTGAATTAAAGAAAACTACGATTATGTCCCTCGTATACTTTTTTTTTTTTTTTTTCATCAGAATTGTAAGAGTTAATTTCAAGTTGGTCTTTAGTATTTTATTGGCATATTATAGCCCATAATATATTTGCTGAATTTCAATTTACATTTACTTTTTTGTTTCGAGTTAAAATGTTTGTTGTCATATATTTGGAAGATAGTTATTTGGAACCTAATACAAGTTTAAGAATGGGGAAAAAAAAGAAGATAAATTATATACTTCTAAATTCTTAACATTTTGGAACTTGTCGCTTAAAATAGAAGTTTAAGTGTTGGGTGTTATTATCCCAACCTTGATTGCACAAAGTAAACTTCGTTGAAAGAAATTTTTGACCTATAATTTATGAGGAAACTTATAGAATGAGTGTACGGTGCAATGTTAAAAAACTATTTAAAGGGAAGTACACGTAATACTGTCTTTCGAGTTTTGCCCTCGAAATTTGGTACATGCGCAAAACGCGTGATGGTTTAATGATGAAGTTGATAAAAAAAAAATGCGGTTTGTCAATGGAACTAAACATTAGAATTGAGAAGTTTGATTTTAAAATTCGAAAAATTAAAAAAGAAGAAATAAATTTTATATATCCCTAAAATCCTCAACTCTTTTCAATATGTTGCTTTAAAATGAAGTTAATCATAATTTTTTAAAATTTTTATTTTCTTATATTTTTTAAAGTTATTAATTGCCAGTTAATGCCTCCTTACTTTTAATGCTCTCATTATAATAGCAGCTTAAAGCCTTAAACTCCTTGATTTAGCCATAAAAGTGAATTAAAATATGAGTTAAAGTTTTTAATTAATTTTAATTGTATATTTCACGATAGTCATAACTTTCATTCATATATTTCATCTACATTTATTAAAATTTACTAGAAATATGATTTTTACCTAAAACAAACAAGGGCTAAATCTAACTCAAGTAAACGCCTTAAATAATATCATTTAGCCTTGTGAATTTTTGAAGAATATATGGTTAAAAATAAAAAGAAAAACTAAGTTTACATACAAAATATTTTATTTGGAAAATGAGTTTGAAAAAAAATGAATATTAGATAATGATGTTCAAAAAAGTCAATAAAATATATGGTTAAAATGTTGAAAAAAATCATAAATTTCAAAAAATGTGTGATTGAAAATAAATTTTAAAAAATAAATCCAAAAATTGTCTTAATTATATGATAAACGACTCAGCACGTGCATCTACATGAGAATTGAAGTCAACGCCTCCTCTGTTTGATGTGTACCTCACAACTATTCAGCAATTATAAAAGTACTTCGATATCTATATTTATATTAGTTGAAACTTGAAAAGTTTGCTTTACGTGCTTTGATGTAGAGAGCATAACGAACCCAGAGCGGACATTCTGAAGGTGTTGACACATAAAAATTCAGCCCAAATCGAACCGCCCAACGAGTAAAGTCCAATTAAAGGATCCCCAAATCGAATAGCCCAAAAAACGAAATCCAATAGAACGAATCAAGGTGAAGGCCCAAATAAGGGACCCAAGAATACGGTAACGCCATCGTCCAAGTTTGCAAGTCGCCCAGAATCTGAACGAATGGAGTGCCATACAGTCGCCCAGAGCTGTTATTCTACTCTCGCCCAGAAATATAACGCATCGTGGTTATCAAGGAATGCAGTTATCAAGGCAGTTGTTAAAGTAGCCTTATCACGTTCTACGACTCAAGGAATTCAATCGAAAGCAGTTGAACGAGGAAAGATAATGGCAGCAGTTAAAGGCAGTTTCATGACAAAATGGCCACTATAAAGAAAGTGGGTAGTTATAGGACGATCAAGCAGTTTTTAGGGTAGTTAATCACAAAGAGATCGTCTACGAGGTATAAAAGGGAGAAAGGACGCAAAAGCAAAAGACCGAATCCAAAACTCTCGAACAGAGAATATGTAATTTTCATTTCCTTAGCTTTTAGACTTAAACATCTTTCTTTCTGTAACTCGTGTGCTTGCGCTCCTTGGAGGCACGTTGTTTTTCATTCCCAATTGTAAAGTTCATCGCCAATAAAAGAACATTCCTTTTTGGGACTTTGTCTTAAGAGGTTTGTCCCTTACACAATTGTCTGACCCTTTTTAATTGTTAGCAATTGTTAGCGACTTAACCCGCGCGAAACAATTTGGCACGCCCAGTGGGACGGTGGTGTTAGGTGTTGAAAATACAAAAGGTGAAACAATATGTCTCAGAGATCCGACAAGGAAGGAGCAAGTCAGGGAGGAATCCAGTCTGTAATCGAGCGATATGAGGAGCAGCATGCCTCTCCACAAACAGATGGACAAAATCAGAGCAGTAACAGTCGTTACGAACCAATGACGGAGTTGAGTCCTCGAACCATGCGTGCATTGCTTGGAGAATTCACGCAAGACGTCGTTGAACAGGTAAATCTTCGAAGTATTCATAATATGGAAAGATTTACACAAAATGGAAATGCACACTATGACAATATGGCCAAACAGCTAAAGACGTTAAACGAAACAATGAATAAGTTAATAGGCCAAATATGTCAACCGGCTATACCTCTTACAAACCACTTTCAAACCAGGACAATTGTGGGACATAATCCCTCTGTCCTAAATCCGAATCAAGGGGTGGAATTGCTTTCGGTCCATCTACTTCAAACCAAGGAGATACTACAGTGCCAAATCAAAATAATGGTAGTGGCATGCCTAACTTGGGGGGTAATTCAAACGTGAGAGATAATGTCATAAACAATGGACAGAATATTCCACGTGGTAATGAGGGAACAGATGTCCAGGCTAACGGTAATGGACCTAATTATGGTAATTTTGTTGCCAATCAAGGACCAAACATTAGACCTCATGCAAATCAGCCGGTTAATCAGCCTGTAGGAATTCCATATGATCCCAATGTCATGTTGAGGAACCAGATTATGGAAATCGTGCAGGATCAGATGGCTTTTGGGGTGCGTCCTGTCATTAGGCCGACGTACACAAAACCATATCCTGATTGGGTAGACCAAGCATATCCATGGCCTAGAGGGTATAAAGTGCCAGAATTCTCACTGTTTACCGGTTTAGGAGAGGTGTCTACTCTAGAACACATAGGGCGATTCACGTTGCAAAGTGGTGATGTAACCGATTACCATAAAATGAGACTTTTCCCTAGTTCGTTAACAGGAGT